CCATTAATGCTTGGATGATGTTATGCTATAGAAGGTTGCTAGAGCAACCACATTCAAGCAAATATGGGATGTTCTTAAAACTGCTCATAATGGAGTGAAAAAAATTAAGAAAGTTCGCCTCCAAACTCTACGAGGTGAATTTGAGGCTTTACGTATGAAGGAATCCGAATTAATTTTAGATTATTTCACAAGAATCTTGGTGGTTGTGAATAATTTGAGAACTTATGGTGATGATCACTATGATGATACCTGGGTGATAGAAAAAATCTTCCGTTCATTAGACCCCAAGTTTGAGTACATTACCGTAGCCATTGAAGAGTCTAAAGATTTAGACACAACGACGATTGACGAACTCATGAGATCATTGTTAATCCATGAAGAACAGCTAGGTAAGAAAAGCAAGAGTCGTTGGAGCAAGTGCTACAAACCAAGCTTTCTTTCAAAGAAATAGAAAGCAGACAAGATGGAAGTCAAAGAGGTAGAGGGCGTGGATATGGAAGTGGAGGGCGTGGTGGACTTGGTCANTACACAGAACCGTAAGATGAAGCTTCCTTAAGTCAAGCCCAAAAAGAAGTCTTGCAAGCTACAAAGAAGAATGATCAAAAGGCTATTTCACTCATCCATTAATGCTTGGATGATGTTATGCTATAGAAGGTTGCTAGAGCAACCACATTCAAGCAAATATGGGATGTTCTTAAAACTGCTCATAATGGAGTGAAAAAAATTAAGAAAGTTCGCCTCCAAACTCTACGAGGTGAATTTGAGGCTTTACGTATGAAGGAATCCGAATTAATTTTAGATTATTTCACAAGAATCTTGGTGGTTGTGAATAATTTGAGAACTTATGGTGATGATCACTATGATGATACCTGGGTGATAGAAAAAATCTTCCGTTCATTAGACCCCAAGTTTGAGTACATTACCGTAGCCATTGAAGAGTCTAAAGATTTAGACACAACGGCGATTGACGAACTCATGGGATCATTGTTAATCCATGAAGAACAGCTAGGTAAGAAAAAGCAAGAGTCGTTGGAGCAAGTGCTACAAACCAAGCTTTCTTTCAAAGAAATAGAAAGCATACAAGATGGAAGTCAAAGAGGTAGAGGGCGTGGATATGGAAGTGGAGGGCGTGGTGGACTTGGTCGAGATAGAGGAGAAAATTTTGGCCAAAATGCGTCCAACAAAGAAGAAAGAGGCCAAAAATCACACCATGGAAGAGGACGCGGAAGAGGCAACAATTCAAAGTCATATGGAGGGAGATATGAAAAATCTCATATTCAATGTTATAATTGTAATCAATATCGTCATTTGACTTTCGAGTGCATAAATGATTTTGTGGAAGAAAAAACACACTTTGTTGAAGACAAAGTTGAAGAGGTAGAGTCGACCTTGTTGTTGGCATACAAAGAAGAGCAAAAGGGAGACAAAAATGTGTGGTACCTTTATTCTGGTGTTAGTAATCATATGTGTGAAAAATAAAGAGATGTTTGCTGAGCTTGATGAATCGGTGAGTGAAAAAGTCACTTTTGGAGATTCTTCTCAAATTCTGGTAATGGGAAGAGGTAATATTTTGATTCGTTTGAAGGATGGAAGACACCAAGTTATTTCTAATATTTTCTATATGCCAAACATAAAAAATAATATTTTGAGCTTGGAACAACTCTTAGAGAAAGGTTATGATATTTGCATGAAAAATCATAATCTTTCAATAAGAGATGGAAATGAGAATTCGGTTGCTAAAGTGTCGATGACAAGAAATAGAATATTTTTGTTAAATATTCAAAGTGATGTGGCAAAATGTTTGAAAGCATGTGTTAAAGATTATTCTTGGTTATGACACTTGAGATTTGGACACTTGAATTTTGGATGACTAACCTTAATATCTAGAAAGAATATGGTGAAAGGATTTCCTTCTATCAATCACCTAGACCAACTTTGTGAGGGATGTTTAATTGGAAAACAAGCTAGAAAGAGCTTTCTCAAAGAATCCACTTCAAGAGCAACCAAACCACTTCAACTTGTTCACTTGGATGTTTGTGGCCCTATAGGCCCACCATCATTTGATAAGAACCAGTATTTTCTTCTATTTATTGATGATTTTAGCCGAAAAATGGGGGTTTATTTTCTAAAACAAAAATCGGAGGCGTTTGGTATTTTCAAAAAGTTTAAGGCTTTGATTGAAAAACAAAGTGGGTATGAATTCAATGCAATTAGATCCGATAGAGGAGGTGAATTCACATCAAATGAATTCAAAATTTTTGTGAAGAAAATGAAATTCGCCATCCTCTAACGGTTTCAAGATCACCACAACAAAATGGTGTTGCTGAAAGGAAGAAATGAACCATTCTTGACATGGCTCGGAGTACGATGAAGAGTAAAAAAATGTCCAATAAGTTTTGAGCGAAAGCTATTGATTGTTCCATCTACTTGTTAAATCGGTGTCCCACTAGAAGTGTTCAAGACAAAACACCACAAGAAGCATGGGGAGGAATCAAGCCAAATATTTCTCATTTGCGGGTCTTTGCAAGTGTATGCTATGCACATGTGCCAGATGAGAAACGAATCAAACTAATGACAAGAGTGAAAAATTTGTCTTCATTGGCTATGATTCAAGAAACAAGGGTTACAAACTTTACAACCAAGCAATGACAAGATAATTATTAGTAGAGATATTGAGTTTGATGAAGAAGATGAATGAGATTGGAACACTCCACAAGAAGACTATGATTTTTTCCTATTCTTTGAAGAAGAGGAGGAGCTCAATAATGAGATCATGAAACTGCCCATTTATTCTCCTCCACCATCACCCACCAATGTGCAAAGCATCTCCATCATCGTCCGACGTAAGCTCAAGAGAAAGGTCACCTTGCATGAGGCGTCTTCAAGATATCTATGAAGAAACCAAAGAGGTAACTCAACGATTTAATGATCTAACACTATTTTGCCTATTTGCTGATTGTGATCTCATAGGCTATGAGAAAGCAACACAAGACAAGAAGTGAAAAAGTGCCATGAATGAAGAAATTGAAACTATTGAAAGAAATGGAACATGGGATCTTGTCACACTCCCTAGAGGACAAAAGGTCATTAGAGTGAAATGGGTGTACAAGACAAAGAAAAATGTCAAAGGTGAAATGGAGAAGTACAAAGCAAGGTTAGTTGCAAAAGGCTATAGTCAAGAATCGGGTATTGACTATGATAAGGTATTTGCACCTGTTGCTCGTTTGAAAACAATTAGATTGATTATTTCTTTAGCCACTCCAAATGATTGAAAAATTCCTCAAATGGATGTAAAGTCCGCTTTTTTGAATGGATTTCTTGACAAAGAGGTGTATGTTGAACAACTCTTAGCTTATATTGTGAAAGGGCAAGGAGAGAAAGTCTTGAAATTAAAAAAGGCTTTGTATGGCTTGAAACAAGCACCAAGGGCTTGGAATAGTGGACTTGACAAATACTTTCAAACAAATAATTTCACTAAATGTTCCCATGAACATACCTTTTATGCAAAGGTGAATGATAATACTCTATGCTTGCTTGTATGTGGATGACTTGATCTTCACAAAAAATTGTCCAAGAATGTTTGAAGATTTCAAGAGAGCAATGACTAAAAAATTTGAGATGACCGATATTGTGCTTATGTCATACTACTTTGGTATTGAATTGAAGCAAATGAATGAAGTTATTTTCATCTCTCAAGAAAGTTATGTTAAAGCAATTTTGGCAAATTCAAGATGCAAGATTGTAAGCCGGTATGGACACCCGTTGAATGTGGTGTAAAATTGTCAAAATATGAAGATGAAAAGCATGTGAATCCTACCCATTTCAAGAGCCTAATGGGAAGCTTGAGGTACTTAACATACACAAGGCTAGATATTTTTTTTTGTGTTGGTCTTATAAGTCGCTATATGGAAGCTCCTACCATGACCCATTTGAAAGTGGCGAAAAGAATTCTTAGATATATCAAAGGTACACTTGATTATGGATTGTTATATTCTTGTTCTAACAATTCCAACCTTGCGGATTATTATGATAGTGATTAGGCCGGAGATATGGATGATAGAAAAAATACTATCGGGTATATTTTATTCATGAGAGATACTGCATTTGCTTGAAGTTCAAAGAAACAACTTATTATGACTCTTTCGACTTGTGAAGCCGAGTATGTGGCGGCTACATCATGTATTTGTCATGTCATTTGGCTTAGAAATTTGTTAAAGGAGTTTCATTTGCCTCAAGAAGAATCGATGGAGGTCTTCATTGACAACAAATCGACACTAGCGTTAACAAAAAATTCAATATTTCATGATCGTAGTAAGCATATTGACACAAGGTTCCATTTTTTTAAATAGTATGTGGCCAAGAAAGAGGTGGAGCTCAAGTTTGTGAAGTCTCAAGATCAAATTGTCAATATTTTCACTAAGCCCCTTAAAAAGAATGTATTTTGCAAATTGAGAAGTTTGCTTGGAATTGAGAAGAAAAATCATGTTTAAGGGAGAGTGTTAAAAAAATAATAATAAACATGACTTTTCATGTTTTAGGAGTTATTTTTATGCATTTACTTTTTTGTATTAGTGGGAGACAAAATAATTATGGTATTTTAATTCTCCAAGTAATAGAGAATTGAGGTCTTTATTATTTTTATTATTACATTATGTAGTTAAATTATTTTGTATGTCATAAAAATCTATATATATTATATATAATACATTCACTTGAATATGAGTGAATAGAAAGAATTCTTCCTATCTTTAATAGTATTTTTCATTATATTTTTTTAGTGAGTGTGTTATACTCCTCTAGATTCCAACAGTCCATCCAAACCCGTTTTCTCTGAAAATGAAAAAAAGAACATACAAATTTTGATAGGTATGAATATTGAAGTAATGCCAATGCACGAATATCGACTTAATCCTCACTTATATAATTTCCTACAATATAGTTTGGTGAATATTTAAAAGCTGTAAATCTTAAAATCACGATGCGGTGCTGCTCCTTTTCTCCTACCTCTTGCTTGTTCCAGTTGTCTGATTGTCCACATAGGCTCTAAAGGAAGGGGATTGTTTGAGACCACAGGGAGCAACTGTGGTGTTCTGATTACCATTCTTCTGTTGCATTCTTCTCCTTGCTATGTAGCCTCCGATCCAGGGGGTCACGTCCTCGTTAATCTTGATCATGATGAAGAAGAAGATTCGATAGATGATAATCATGCAGAAGATAACACTGAGATCCACCCATTTTGATCGATTCACATCGATCTGGAATATGTTCTCCAATATGTATTCACCAGGAATTTTGGGAAGACCAGGTGATTGGTTGTCGAACACCAACCCATTCAGATCATTTTGGTATTGTCCCTGAGCATTTGCAGTTGTGGGTTTAAATATCAAACCATTTGGGCCAGCAAAATGTCAAAAATGAACAAAGCATAATATTTTACCTGTAGAGCCCAGAAGTGGAAACTGATGTAAGACATAGGGTAACGCCAAACAGGTTTTGGGATGTCATTGGGGAGTCTGAAGTACCCGGAGACTAGCATGAATATTCCCTAAATTGCAGGAAAACAAAAATTTCATCAAACTGCAACTAACATAAAAGACTGGAGTAGCAAAAAAAGAAACAGTTAAGCCAGGGGCACGATTCTCCATTGAGGGTCATGGTCCTAGAACTTCGATTGAAGCTGCTAACCCAAAAATAGAAAAACCACTCAGTCAGAAAAATAANCTGCAACTAACATAAAAGACTGGAGTAGCAAAAAAAGAAACAGTTAAGCCAGGGGCAGGATTCTCCATTGAGGGTCATGGTCCTAGAACTTCGATTGAAGCTGCTAACCCAAAATTTGAAAAACCACTCAGTCAGAAAAATAAAAATAAATAGATAACAACTTGGGTGATGCTGCTGTGTAGTCTTACATTGGTTGAACAAAATCAGGAAGGCACCGAAAGAAGAAAATCTTGAAGTATTGTTTGGTAACGCTTTTTTTTTAAGTAAATTTTTGTTAAGCAAAAAAATAATAATAATTTGTCCTCAAAACAAAATATGTTTGATAACTATGTAATAAAAGTGACCGGACAAGGACAAAGAAAATAAAAGGGAAAAAACAAAATGCAACTAAAAAAAAAAATATTGTCAAATCGAAAGTGAAACAGTGAGGATTCACAGGAATAGTTGAGTGACCTGATATGCCTGAGCTCCAAGCTAGGAATAATTGAATATTCAGGGAATAAAGACGAAGTGTGCATTCAGTCAAATTATATGAAAATACAGACCTGAATTCCAGCCCCTGTGATGATCCCCATGAGGAAGTTCGGGACAATACTGGCTATGGCCATCATCAGGCTCTCCACTACCGTGACGCTTGCATAGAGGCACAACACAAAGAACAGATAATGTGAGAAACCGGGGTGGAGACGGACCATGAAATAGCAGACAGTTCCAGAGATGAAGGTGATCAGCATCAGGAATGGCATTGCAGATATAGTGTTGCTAATTACAAATGCAGTCACACCATAGTGCCCATTCAGCCTCTCTCTTTGAAAAACCTGTGTAGAAGCAGCAGACATGTCTGTCAAGGCACAACAATTGGGACAAAGGGAATTTAGTATTTCAATTTTATATACAATTGCATATAAAAAGTACCTTCATATCTTCCACAAAGCAAGGAAATCCTCCGATTGACATGAATGTGACAAACCCGAATACAAAAGAGGCACATGCTCCCCTTGCCTGTCCCATATATAGCAAATGAATCAATTAAATTCAAAAGACATGAACTTGCTCCCAATGCACAGAAAACTCATGCTTCAATGTAAGAAACAGAACTTCAAATGTAAAGTTTTTAGCTCGTTCCATAATACACACGCATCCCTGGCCACTTATCACATGCTATCAGGTAACCATAGTAGTACCAAGATGGAATTGTAGCCAGTCCCCACATCCAAATAGATTGTTCCAATGCAGATAGTGACCACAACGTAGATCACAAGCCTCAGCCAGTAGTAACCGAAGTCCCTTGACATGTTGATAAATGAACGCTTGGTTAAGGTAAAGGACTGCATAAAGAAACTGGCCTGACTGCCTCCTGAATCTAGCACAGTTCCTTTCTGTAACACATCCGAGGGAATCTCAGCCATTAAGAACTAAAGAATTTCCAATTGTGGTTAAAAAGAAGATGTATTTTAAATCAAGATGACATTGAGCGAAACTTACAACTTTTGAGATCTCCTCAACCTTTTCTCTTGCTGAGTAACAGTGCTGAGAAGTACGGTAGAAGTCTATAAGTTTTCGGATAGCTTCAGCTGTAGTTATTTTCTCAAGAGGATCATCATTTGTCTCAAACTAATCAGAAACCAAATTAAAGAATACAATTAGCATAAAAAGCGACCTGCAGTCAATCAAAAGGTAAAACAACACCAACACCAATAATCCAACTACAAAAAGAATTAATGCTATTTTTTTTTCTTGGATGACAAATTGATTTGCTGAAATGTCTCACAAAAAAAAATGAAGTTTATCTCAGTTTTTGTTATTGTGTAATAACTGATTAGAACTATTTTTACCCCCCATTGCCTGTCAACACGTGAAAATCAATAAACCATCCACACACTACCATTAACCCTGACAGAAAAATACCCTGCACACCCCCCACCCCCCCCCCCCCCCCC